GGTATAAGCAAGATAAGCGCACGCTCTGAAATTCCTGCCCCTGTCCCATCCAAACGCCTTCGTGTGCTTTTACCCATGTGGAGCGTGGGCGGGACTGTGACTGGGACTGTGCCCGCACTCAACGGATTGTTTTCCATTACCCCTGTTCCCATCCCCTGTGTCTATGTTGTGTCTTGCCGGTGTGCTTATGCTAAGATAGGGCTGTTTTTCTCCCTTTTCTCACTTTGTCCTAATCAAGGGCAAGCTAAGGGGACGTTTTTTTTGCCTAACTGTCCAAATGTATCTTTCTTCGTTTCTAAATGCTACCTCCTATGATCTGTCTCCCCCGAAAAGTGTGATGTTTTGTGTATGGTCTGGGGGGTCCAATTTCGCTAAACGAAAGTGTAGTGACAATAAAGGCTTGATTGATTGATTGATTGATTGATTGATTGATTGATTGATTGATTGATTGATTGATTGATTGATTGATTGATTGGATGCGATATGTGAACACCCCATACAGTTTTAATCTGAGAGATTCAGTACAAGCACTGATCTATAATAGACATGTGATTACAAGCCGCGCGGGGCGTTTACAACTTATAACACAAAATTAAACACATATTTTGCAAACTACACAAAACGAGGCAACCATTTTAATTAACCTTACATGGTATGGGACGAAGAACTGGTCCATTTGAACTGTAAAAGTTACTGACAAAGTCCCTGTCAATGTCTGACAAAGTCCCATAGTCTCTGCTGCTTCTTCAATAGCAAACGGCCGACGAATCCCACGTTGCAGCATAGGCTATTGAATCAATCATCAGAAAAATGACAGGAACAAACACAGCTTGAGGTTGGCCATACTGTAGCATTGTTGGGAAAAGGAACTTAAACCCTTTATTACCCGCAGCCGTGATGATCAGTCCTGTGATCCCCCCCGCCTCCGCTAGTGTATGAAGTGAAAGCACGTTCACATTTTACCGGAACTGGAACTACATATTAGGTCATGTACCGTATCGACGTTGTTGCGATCAAACAAAAGATCAGAACCCAACTCGGTTCATTTATTTAACTCTAAGTCAACTATTGCTAAAGAATCAATAGTTTTAAACTGTCCACTCTCAGATTTAAGCCTTAGATAAATATTTCACTTCAATTAGGGGTTACACACTGCATGGAAGGTCATTTTCAAAAACCCATAATAGGGACTCTTTAATTGTCTTTCTGTCTCATTATTGAAAAGAAATAATTTTCTTATAACATTTCTCTAATGTGACTGTGAGAATGTTGTTACTTTGGTTTTTTAAAACATTGTCAAAACGTTTCCTTAGAGAACATTGTTTGATCTGGTGGCAATTCAATAATCTTAAAACATTTTTAAAATGTTACAGATAAAATGTGCTAGCTTTGTTCAAATGTCTTATTACAATAGCATTCTTCAAAGAACATTCCACATCTGACATCTTAATAATGTTCTTATAACATTTTTTCTAACGTGACTGTGAGAATGTTCTTACTTTGTTTTTATGAAACATTGTCAAAACGTTTTCTAACATTGTTTGATCTGGTCCCTTACCAACATTTTCAAAACATTGCGAGAATGTTTTTGTTCATTGTTTTGGAAAAAACAACTTTTTAATTATTCATTGGATATTACATTAATATGTTTTCTTTAAAACATTAACACAGCCTGTAGGGAATGTTAGCCAAAGTTGAGAGAACGTTCCCTTCTAACTGACGGTTGAACAATTTGTTTTTCTCTGAGTGAATCTAGCAGCAAATCTAACATTGTAAATTCTACAAACGGTGTACTTTTAGAACAAAATGTCACCAATGCAGTCACAATCAGGTGGGCAAAATAAAAAAATACTACCAGAGTAACTCATTTCAAACAAAAGGCAATGTATTTAACTAAAACTGTCTCCGTAGTTGTAGAAAACTACATTATTGGGTCATTTGTTTATATGACTAAATTTGTTGAATTACCATTGTGATGATAGAATTACCACAGCTGACCAATTCATTTACCTTACTGTAGTATGTATGGTTCAGAAACACTATTTGCCATAAGTTACTACAGCATTATTTCATGTGTTTACAAAGATTATCCTGGTATTTGTGGAGAATATTTTATGTCAGTGTTTTAATTTAAGTGTTATTTTTGCAGTTAATAGCCGCTTAAGCTAAGTGCCTAGCTACAGTTTACAGCTTCTATTTTCACATCGAAATGACTCAACAATATAGCAATAATATGTTGTATGATGGAATAAACGTGTTTTCTTGTAAAGTTAGTCATTAGATCACAGGTTTTTCTCTCACATCTTGAACAAATTAGTTCTGGAGCTGAAGAACAAAGATTCAACTGCTATCCACTAAGGCCATATTATACTAAATATATAAACCAGAAATAGCCTCTTATGATTAACGCCCATATGAAATAATAATAATAATAATATTGTAATTCATAGTAAATACCATTTTTTGAGTATCATATTGCTGTATGATAGTACAACTCTTTGATATCGAGTGATCCAGCATACTGTATAGTGAATTGATAAAGTAATAAATACTGTAGATTACTTACTCCATGCTAAAAACAGCTTAAGCCAGCCTAGGCTGATTGGCTGGTTTTAGCTGGTTGACCAGCCTGATTTTAGAGGGGTTTTGGCCATTTCCAGGCTGGTTGCCAGCCATTTCTAGCTGGTCTGACCAGAATGTATTTAAATTACATCTCATGAATTAATAAAATGTATAAGTTTTTAGCATTTTCAAGGATATTTAGTGACTATTTTAGAGGTTACTGTCGGTCGAACTATACAAATTATGTGTCTAATTCAACTTTTTTTTTTTAGGCTGCATGCAGATATAAACGCCTATTTTAACAAGCAACGTCTTTTGTGAATACTGAAGATGTCCATCAGTGCCAGCTTTAACAGAACTGCCAGTTTTAGACGGTTGAATCATTTTTTTTTTCGCATTGATTGGCGCAATTATGCATTCACAATGGTATGAAATGTTATAGGTGGAGTCAAAATGTATACAGTTGTAATCAGAATTATTAAACCCCCTTTGAATTTTTTTTCTTTTTAAAATATTTCCCAGATGATGTTTGACAGAGAAAGGAAATTTTCACAGTATGTCTGATAATATTTTTTCTTCTTTCTTCTGGAGAAAGTCATATTTTTATTTCAGCTAGAATAAAAGCAGTTTTTAATAATAATATTAATAATAATGAAAACATTTTAAGGTCAAAATATTAGCCCCTTTAAGCTATATATATTTTTTTTCGATAGTCTACAGAACAAACCATCATTATACAATAACTTGCCTAACGTGCCTAGTTAACCTAATCAAGCTAGTTAAGCCTTTAAATGTCACTTTAAGCTGTCGAAAAATATCTAGTAAAATAGTATTTAGTCATCATGGCAAAGATAAAATAAAACAGTTATTAGAAATGACAATAAAACTATTATATGTAGAAATGTGTTGAAAAAAATCTTCTATCTGTCAAACAGAAATTGGGGGAAAAAATAAACAAACAGGGGGACTAATAATTGAGGGGGGTTAATGATTCTGATTATACACTTTTAATTATTAATATTTAAGAAATAAAATAAAAAAAGAACATTTCTTAATATTAAAGGGCTGACCCCTCATTCATCTTGTTTTGATGTCCTTCAGGAGGATCAAGCGTTAATTAGAGGGGTCAAACCCCCCAAAAAACTTTGCACCCTGGTAGCATTTATTAATAAAATTGTAAATAAAATGTTGTAAATACTATAACATGCAATATAATGTACTTTTCTGTACTACATTAAGCTTTTTTTTTTTTTTTACTAAGGGTACATTATATTATTCTACAATATGCCACAGTTTACTGTGGTAAAAAGTATACTACAGTATTTTTACAGTTTAACAGTTCACAATAATTAACACTACTGTATGCTGTAGCATATAATACAGTGTAATGTACAGTATAATATAGTTTACTATAGTACAGTAGGTACATTTTTACCAAGGGTATATAATATATTACAATATAATAGTTTACTGTGACAAAAACTGAAGTGTATTGCACTTTACAAGTTCACATTGGTTAATACTACAGTGATGATGTAGCATTTATTAACACTGTTGTAAATACAGTATAATACACTATAATAAACTTTACTATAGTACAGTAAAATTTTGTTTTTACAAAGGGCAAATTATATTTTGCTATACTTTACTATAGCCCAAAAGAGTTAATTCTTGTTATTCTATAGCATTCATTAACAAAGTGTTTTAAATACTATAAAATATACAGTGTACTATAGTACACCATGTTTTTACTATGTTATACTACAATTTGATACTAAAATTTACTATAATTTAGGTATACTACAGTGTATATCCGTTCACAAGAGTTAATATGTTACATTTATTTACAAAGAGTTTTAAAATAGTTTTAATATTAGTTTGAGTGGCGTTTCTGTGTGGAGTTTGCATGTTCTCCCTGTGATGGCGTGGGTTTCCTGCGTGTGCTCCGGTTTCCCCCACAGTCCAAAGACATGCGGTACAGGTGAATTAAATTAGCTAAATTGTCCATGTGTATGTGTGTGAATACAGGAATATATGGGTGTTTCCTGGTGTTGGGTTGCAGCTGGAACGGCATCCGCCTTGTAAAACATATGCTGGATAAATTGGCGCTTCATTCCACTGTGGCAACCTCTAAGTATAAAGGGACTAAGCCAAAAACAAAATGAATGAATGAATATAATAAAAAAAATTATGATTAAATTAGCATACAATTAGTATAATACACTTTACTATAGTATGATTCAAAAGCACTATTTAATATGATTTACTATAGTATATTTTCACATGGCTCTCATTAACTCCTCATGAATCAGCTCCTCTTGCCCTGCCTGCGTTGAGCTCTCTGAATGAAAGCCTCGTTTTGATTGGCTGTCTGAACAGTGGCAGAGCTGATAAACCCTCAGGCTTCACTGCTGTTCCACACCACTCTCTTTTGCTCTGTGTGTGTGTGTGTGTGTGTGTTTGTATATGTGTGTTTGAAACCGGCAGAAAGCGTACGAGGATCAACAGGAGGGAGGACTCTTCTTTATTTGCCCGACACTGTAAGTACAATGAAAGCTATTAGATGAAAGGAAGACATAATGTGAGCAGATAGCACTTGTTGAGCGTTTAGAGCAGAGTACAGGTGCAAGGTTCACATACAGGATTATTATTGGATTTTGTCAGGTTAATGACATGTGTACCTGCGAATTGGCTTTCTCCTTCTGCATTTTATTTATATACTAAAGTATTTTAAAATGTCTTATTTCATTTCTAAAAACAGAATAAAGTCATGCCGGTTTAAATGTGATAAGCCAAATGTGAGCAGATACTTTTACTGTAGCTTTTACTCCATTTTTACTGCTGCCTCAGTGCAGCATGGTATGCCATAAAGATATGTGCACATGACAAATCATAAAGTGTTTCATGATGTGCCTACACAGAAAAAAAGATTAATCATTTATTTAAAATTGGTTTAGTATCTATATATTTTTTAATGAATACTATTGATCGATTTTAAACCCTTCTTTACATTTTCTAGTTTGTTTGTTTTTTTGTCTGAAACATTTTAAAGTTTAGATTTAAATGCTTACCAAATCAAAAATAATGCATTGATTTAGTGCTAGGGTTTGTAAATATTTATTTATAGTATGTTCTGAAATAATGACATTTTTTTTGTACATATGTGCATGTGTAAAAGTCATTGGATCCACACAAGTACGCACACAAACACGCACCAACACTGACAGATCTCAATCCATTTGTATTATGTGGATTAGGGTGAAGAGATAACAGGCATATAAATAATTAGTAGTAGCCACTGTTACAAACCCCTCTGACATAGCTCTATTAAAACACTTTTAATCATGTAAAAAAATGTAAATAAAGACAATATATCCCTCCATCCCTTACAAATCTATCTTTTAAATTCATATTTTTAAGTTATACAATATTATGTTTGTGCATATACATTAGTAACTTAGTCACAAAAGCAACATATGATAACAGGCCAAATACTAGTACGCCCAAATTTGTATGTTATAAAAAAATATTAAATACACATTTAAAAAAAGAGGAAAAATGAAGAGAAGCAAAACAATAAATAAATAAAAAAGAAAAAAATAGTTAAAGTTTTGTAGGTTGTAATCTTTTTCACAATAATTTGCTTGAATTGATTTGTTTTATCTTTAGATTTCAAAATATGTTTGGTGACTAATATATTATTTCAGTAAATCATGTGTAATAAATCTGTTTTGTTTAAATGCACCAAAATACACTGCCTATATTTATACTTAGATATTTAAATGGGGTGTACTCATGCTAAGTACTATATATATATATATATATATATATATATATATATATATATATATATATATATATATACATTTATACATTTATACATTTATACATTTATACATATATACATATATACATATATACACACACACAGTGAATTATTATTCCCCCTGACTTATTAGCCCCCTGTTTATTTTTTCGCGCGCGTACTAAAGAGCGGTGTTGTCGCGCGCGTTCTGATCAGCTGTGTTGTCGCGCGCCTACTGAAGGGCGGGACCAAGGGTGTGTTGCGTCGCGGGGCACTTTCTATCCAAGACTAAAAAGGGCAAGTTGAGCCCTATGTGTGCATGTGCCTGGTTAGGGTAATTGGGCAAGTTATTGTATAACAATAGTTTGTTCTGTAGACTATCAGAAAAAAATTGCTTAAAGGGGCTAATATTTTGTCCCAAAATTAGTTTTAAAAAAATTAAAAACTGCTTTTATTCTAGCCGAAATAAAACAAATAACACTTTCTCCAGAAGAAAAAAATATTATCAGACATACTGTGAAAATTTCCTTGCTCTGTTAAACATCATTTGGGAAATAATTAAAAAAAGAAAAAAAAAATCAAAAGGGGGCTAATAATTCTGACTGTGTTTTAATTCAATGTGGCTAATGGTTTATAATAATTAATATTTTTTATAAATTAAGATAATACATTAAGATAATATGACTCAATAAAAAAGTTTGTTCAAGTTAAACTTCAAATGAATAAAAAAATGAAAATAAATCAAATATAAAAAAGAAAGAAAACATAAATGTGTTTTAATATGTATTAAACAATTCAAAAGCACATTAAAATAGATAGTTTTAAAATTAAATATTTAAAATTAGATGTATAATGTGTATTTAAATGTGAATAACATGTGAATAAGTACAGAAAAATGTCACGAAGTGTAAAAAAAAGTAGTATAATTATATAGTACACCTTATCTTACTTTTAATTTGACCTTAAGTGTTATCTTTTCGACCCGAGCAGTTGACCTAAGACTTGTCAAAGCAAGTGTTGCTCTTTTGTTAGTTTGATAGCTTTTGTTACTTCAATTCTAAGTTTGGATATTGAATAAATGATTATGTTGGATATTGTTGGATTTGTAAATATAAATGTAAATGAACAAGATCAAAAATTGCAATACAGAGTATCACCACAAAAGTGGAAACTTTCCAATAGTAACCCAACTCTATCTCACAGCAGTTCTTAATTTTTTGATTTAGTGGCTAATTTGTATGATCACTCGTACATTTTATCCCCCAATAACGGTTGGGTTCAGTGGTGGGCTTGGGTACCACGCCTCCTTTTAAAAATCTTACATTTTCATATGACTGAACTCTGAATTCGTACAAATAAGCCATTAAACTGACAAAACGTAAAATGTTTACGTTTCCTCATAAGGCTTGGTAAACTTAAAGTTCTACATACTTTGAAGGGATCAATTACCCCAAAATCAACACTCTATGACCTTTTACTAACACTCAAGTGGTTCTAAATTTGTATTTCTTCTGTTGAACACAATGCAATATTCTGAAGAATGTTGGTAAAACACCCATTGAAATCCATCGCAGGAACAAAATACATAATGGAAGTCATTGGCAGCTGCATCAGTTGTAAAATATGTTGTGTTCAACAGAACAAAGAAACTCAAATGTGTTTGGAACAAGTGGAGGATGAGTAAACAGTGACAGAATTTTCATTCTTGAATCTCTAACTGTTAAATACGAATTTGCTTTAATGTGGGAATGCTGGTTTGGACACTGAAAGTCATGATGACCCTGCAAACAATCTCAATTACAGTATAATATAAGTACACCTTTCTTCTAATAGAGGAGTTTAAGAGTAGCCGAAGTCAGTTTGTCTTTATTCAATCTTTCAGACTAAAAGATGGATGCCGCAGAGTTTCGGAGACGCGGGAGGGAGATGGTTGATTATGTGGCGGATTATATAGAGAACATTGAGAAAAGGCAGGTTTACCCTGATGTGGAACCGGGATATCTGAGGTCACTGATTCCTGAGGAGGCCCCCGAGGAGCCAGAGAGCTATGAGGATGTGGTCAAAGACATCGAGAGGGTGATCATGCCAGGGGTGAGTCAGTCTGACCAGCTATGATACAGTTCCTGAGGGTGTTAGTGTTCTACAGCTGTAATGATACTTTACAATCATTACATTCTGTCATTTTTAAAGATAAAATTATAAGAATATGACATACAATTATAATACATAACAAAAGGTTTATTTCTATTTTTAGTGTTTGTTTTTTTTGTTGGTAATGGTTATATTTTCCTGCATGATAATGATCCCAAACATGCTGCTAATGCAGTAAAAACCTAATTAAACACATAAATGAGTCCACACATAAATATTATAGAGGCAGTATGATATTGACTTGGACAGAAAAAGAAAGATATAATATCTTAATCTAAAAACATGCCAAAAAGAGGATCAAGGTACAGTATGTTTAGTGCCAGTCACATAATACAAACTTTTGTAGAGTAAGGTATATGTTGAACATTAATAATTTTTTTTTTATTCATTAGTTAATTCATTCATAAAGACCATTTACAGACATGGACACAATTATTGGTACCTTTTATTAGTTTGTCTTTTTTAATACTTCCGTTGAACAACAATTTGAAAGCAATATCTGATTTTCATTCATTTATTTTTAGTTATTTTTCAGTGACCACTGTATTTTTTCTTTCCTCAATGGAAGGGCACCAACAATTTTGTCCACGTCTGTAAATCCCTCGGAATTGGCCTTAGAAAGAACGCTCACTTTTTACCCTATTTGGAAGGGTCATGAATATTAATGAGCTCCACTCTCATTCTGCTATAAACTCGTGTCTCTGATGTTTACTCAGTGTGATGTTCTCTGAAATACATGATCATAATTCGGTTTTGAAAACATATTTGGACAAATTGCGTAGATGCCAGTTGTCAAGCACAATTGTTTTAACTGAAGTGAAAAAGAGGACAAGTGTGCTATCCAGGGTCGGAGTGGGACTCCTTTTCAGCTCTGGAGTTTCAAGCCTTAGATCGACCCACCTCAGTTCACGACTGACTATATTAAAATAAGGTCATTTCCAATTCAGTTTCTAATGACACTATCACGTCTTTTTCAAGAAAACAGCTGCTTTAGAACTTCATGTTCAACATCCCTAACAGTATTATGTATCTTAACAATAATAAAAAAAATAATAATACTAATAATTAATTTAGTGAGGTTCGAACACGGGTCAGCAGCGTCATAACACAACTTGCTGACCACTGGACCGCAATGGCGTTGTTGTGTTGATGCAGCTGGAATAAAACATATTGCACTGTGACCTGCAAAACCTAACCGGCGTGACCGGCTTAATCTTTTTCTCTCCTTTTTAGATTTCTGATCAACTTATGTCAGATTTATTAATGTAGTGAATCATCTGATTTTCACTGAGCAGGTTTAATATTCATTAATATTAATTATTCAAATTCTTATATTAGTTGCTGCTTGTTTGGGGTGGAATGATACTTACATTATCATTAACCTGCAGGCTGCATTTTGCTCACGGGGCTGCAAGAAAATAAATAAGAAGAGCAGAGCTGTGAAAAAATAATGGATAAAAAGAGTACAGCTATGGTCAAATAAAAAAAATATTGAAAAAAGTGCGGAGAGTGCAAGCAGTTAGGGACACCGACCCTTGTGGCCAATAATTGTCCCGGTCCTCCCGATTAGCCAATCCGGGCCTCGCACTATCTGTCCATAATTGCTCCTGGGTTATGTGTTGTGAATAAACTGTTGACCAAATTATGATTATTCTGGGTTTAATGTGTATGAAAACATAGGCAGGAATTATAATAATATATAATGTTGTTCCAGACTACTGAAATATTACTTTAAGTCACTTTGTTAAACTTTACATCATACAAAAAAAATAAAAATAAAAATCAGACATTTAAGTTGAAAGTATGGTCACCTTGGCATTGTAAATAAATTACAAATAAACGACAAACACCAATAAATAAATAAATGACAATAATGTAAATGTTCATAAAGCAGTAGGATTTTATCTTGTGCCTAAAGATAAAGGTCCCTATCATACACCCGGCGCAATGTGGCGCAAGGTGTGACGCAATTGTTGTTTGCTAGTTTCAGCTCGGCGCAAGAGTCGTTTTGACATTTTGCGCCACGCTGTTTAAATAGCAAATGAATTTGCGCTCATATGTGCGCCCATAGGCGTTCTGGTCTAAAATAACAGGCGTGTTTTGGTGCGTTGCTATTTTGAGAAACTGTAATAGTCTTTTCTTTAGACCAGAATAAACCCGGTCTAAAGTTCGGTGCAGAGTTGCGCCTCGCTTAAACACTGCTTAATACACAAGATGTGGAGCAATACACAAATATCTTTACATATGAAAAAGAATTTAAATATTAAGGATATATATAGGATATAATATATATATATATATATATATATATATATATATATATATATATATATATATATATATATATATATATATATATATATATATATATATATATATATATATATATATATATATATATATATATATGATATGATATAAATATAAAGGATTAAATATTACAAAACATATTATTTTTCTAGCCTACATGAATTTAAAAACCACTGCCTTGAATCCTTCATCTCGGGAGTCTTTTTCAGTTTATTCAATTTGCTTTTGTATAATGGTTTTATCACTATTAGCAGTATTATTTATTATATGCATATTTATATTTGTTTTATTAAAAACAAGCTTAGATTTGTCCACCTGTCAGGTTTTAGACCACATGGGGCATAGCAGGTGTATTTTGAAATAACTCAGGTTTTTGAGCACATTTTGTTATTACTGTTCAATTATTTGTTTGCTGGAAATTAGAACTGAATATAGAAATAGTTTTGAAACAAATCTTTGCACTTAACAAACAAAATTAATTATTTATAGGCTAATTGATGTCTGTGCGTACAAGGTTTCCCCATCCACGAGAGAAAAAGCAAAAGTGAACTTACTATGCGTCCTGTAAATAGCAAATGCGCTTATGGCGCGACACAGCTGGCTCATAAAGGGAATGGGAGATGAGACTCTGATTGGTTTATTCTCAATACACACCCATAACTCATTAAGAAAATAAACTCAACCCTTTTAGACCATATGCCATGGCGCAAAGTGGATTTTTCCGTCCTTATATTAGCAAAATTACATTCTGACATGCCCTGAAGCGTTTGCGCTCTGCGTTTTGCGCTCTGCGCATGGACCGTCAAAATAGAGCCCCTAGTTTTATGTCCCTGAACAGCTCAAACACCCCCAGGGTTTTCCTCTCACTAGTGTCATTCTCTTATATACTCAAAATCCACCAATTTGAGGATAGTTGTTAGGAAATGAATCACAAGATATAGGAAACTTTTTACATATTTGCTCATTGAAAAAAAAAATAAAGGCTTTTAACTCAGAACCCTTGTGACATCTAGTTTAACCAGTCTTTTAATGTTTTAGTGTTTGCCTTTGAAGGTTTGTACTATCAATTTACTGATCAAGAATCTTAACGAACATATGTCAGATTTTATCTAAAGTTGTATATCATTTAAACAGATCCCCGCCTCATGGGTGATGAAGAGCAATGCAAATCTTCATAAAACAGTGTGATTTGAACTTGTGCAGATGAAGATGTAGAATCACAGGACAAGTCAAGGACACTCAGTGTTTTCTCTCATTAGTGTCATTCTCTCATATACTCGAAATCCACCGTTTAGGAAATGGATCATTAAACTCTGACCTGGGGTCAAATACAAGTCTCCCCACCCATTCATTTCATAGCTCAGAGGAAAAAACAAACACTTTAATTGATTTAAAGGTGTTAACCTTCCCACTGTGCCCAATTAGACCAATTTTCCCTTTTAGAAGTGCTGTTTAATAGTGGTTTTATAGTGTGTGCTGGAGCTAATGAATGACTCACAATAGGAAAATCCTGCAAGACAGAGAGACACACACACACACAGTGCCTAGAGCTCTCTTCTCCGCTTAACACATGGAATAAGTTCATCTAGCCATCATAATTTAATATAACCTTTAACATCCAGAGACAAAATAAAATAATGTCACTATTCCTAAAAAGAGCAGCTGCACAGCAGCAGAACAACCACAGACTATTGTCCTCTGTGTATTACACTTAAACTCCATTAAATATCACTGCACATAAGCAAATACAGAGGTTGTGAAATGATCTCTTGGAATTTCATGAATATTTAATATTATTAAATGAATGTTGTTTATTTTCTGCACTGTTTCAGGTCACCCACTGGCACAGCCCATACTTCTATGCATATTTTCCCACTGCCCACTCTTATCCTGCAATGCTCGCAGACATACTGTGTGGAGCCATTGGCTGCATTGGATTCTCTTGGGTATGTTTTTCTCTCTGTCCAAACCCTTGTCTGTTTGTTCAGTTGGCCATATTCCTTTCTGTTCGTTAAATGATCCGTTTATATATATATATATATATATATATATATATATATATATATATATATATATATATACATAAACTTGTTAGCCACCTGTTTTTCTGTCTGTTTGTTTCTGCCCATCCCCCCTTACGAAAAGAAGTGTTTTCAGTATACCTCTTTTAAACTAAAATAAGAAAGCATAATTTTAAATACTTCCAGAAAAATACTTAACATTGCACGTAAGTATACAGTACTTGAATTATACAGACAGAAGTTTTAGTATATTTGGCCTATAAAGGGATATTTCAACCAAAAATGTACACTTCTCTAATAATTTACTTACTTGTTTCAGACCTTTATGAAATTATTTCTTCACAAAGGAAGATATTTTGAAGACTGCTGGAAAGCTGTAACCCCTGACTTCACTTTGTAATCTTCCTAATATGGATGTCAATAGCCCCTTTCACACATACAGACCTTTGTACAGGTTGTATGTGTGAACAGGCCCTTTTTTGAAAATACCGGTAAATTCGTTCTGGCTATTTTCCGGAAAGAGAAGTTGTAACATTACCAGTTATTTACTGGAATGCTGCGCTGTGTGAATGCAGTAGGAAGATTGCCGGAATTTGAACCTTTTATTTTTTTTCTTTGTTTTGTTTTTTCATTGTCACAAAAAACCCAAGACCCCTAATACAGCCACATCGCCGCATTTTCTCCTTCTGTACCTGGATGGAGCCTGCTGCACCTAAGGACTCTGAAAGCGTTATCTGTCTCGCCCTAGCAGCCCCTGTGCCTCTCCTTTCCTCCTCTTCTGACATTGAGAGATATTTTCCTCACGCATGCATATATATTTTTTTGCTTGTTAATTTGGATTAGTGTTGATTTCAAATGCAATAAATATGTTTATAAAACTTGTATTAATGTTGCTTTTAATTTATGGGTGCGGCTAAATTTTGGCTGGTGCACCTAAATTTTTTAAAGTTTTAAAGCACCTGTGCTACCAAGCAAAAATGTTAATTTCGACCCCTGTAATGTATATTGAATGTAGTTAAAATATTGTGAACAGCTTAAAATAAGTTATTTTTATTGTTTGTATATGCTTTGGTAATGGGGGGTCGCGAGTTCTTGACGATCTTACATTGGCGGTCGCTGGCTTCAAATTTTGAGAACCACTGCCCTAAAACCAGTTTTTTGCATGATGGGTTACAAAGTGGAAAAAGTCTTCAAAGGCTGCCCCTATTGTAGCTGTAAGGATGGGTAAAATGTAATTTATACATTTTTTTTTTTTTGTGGAAATAATGATGTCAAAGTACTATGTGATCAAGTGTAAAAGCAATGGAAAACTTATGAAATATAACTCTGAGAAAGAACTCTAACTATTAAACTAGAGAGTTTATGTCAAAGTCTTCTCTATTGAAGTAATTATTTAACACAAATATTGCTAAAGTAGGGGTGAAACGGTGACTCAATGGTGAGCACTGTCTCCTCACAGCAAGAAGGGCACTGGTTTGAGTCCCGGCTAGGTCAGTTGGCATTTCTGTGTGGAGTTTGCATGTTCTGCTGTTGCATTCTGCTGTGGCGACCCCTGAGAAATAAATGGAATACGCCAAAGGAAAATTAATGAATTGCAAAAGTAAAACCACTTTTAAGTCTGCTTGCTGTACAAATGAAAAACTTGTGGGCAACATGTGAACTAAAGTTTACTATTGTAACACTTAGGCCCGTCCACACAGCAACGTATTCATTAAAAGTTTAATATCATGTTTAATATTAAACTTATGAAATATAACTTTGGGAAAGAACCCTAAATATTAAACTAGAGAATTGATGGCAAACTATTCTATAATAAAGTAAGTATTCTCTATTAATATAGTTAAAGTAAACTACTTGTAACTTTTAAGTTCACTTGCAGTACAAATGAAAAACTTGAGTGGGCTACATGTGAACTAAAGTTTACTATTGTTACACTTTTACTCTTTCACTCTTTACGAGAAGTGACCTGGGACCAGAGAGTCAGAAACTCGGTCTAACGTCTCATCACATCATAACCAATCAAATGCTCTCTAGTATCTGACATGACCCGCCCCTTCAAGATGCTTCTCGTTTGCTTTTCATCTGATGCACTTGAGCTCAACTGGTATCACTGGCAGAGCGGTGATAAAACAAAATGCAAAATGCATCAAACATTGAATAAAAAAGCACATTTCAAAGCACTTCAAGTGACCTTTAAATATATACCTCAGTGTTACTTAAGTCTACTTCATAAAATTACTTTGAAGTATAACGTACTTTTTTTTTTTGAGGGCACACATTCATTCATCCATTTAGTGACCTAACTGTCTGTCCAATCATCATTTCATCCATCCATCCATCCATCCATCCATCCATCCATCTATCCATCCATCCATCCATCTAGCTGCCTGTCTTGCTGTATATCCATACATCCATCATCCATCAATATACTGTACTTCTTTTTTTGAGGGCACACATTCATTCATCCATTTAGTGACCTACCTGTCTGTCCAATCATCATTTCATCAATCCATCCATCCATCCATCCATCCATCCATCCATCCATCCATCCATCCATGCATTTAGATGCCTGTCTTGCTGTATATCCATCATCCATCAATCCATCTATCCATACTTACATAAATTCTCATCTTGTAATGTAATTCAGGATTTTGATGTTTTGTAAGGCTGCAAGTCCTGCCTGTACGGAGCTAGAGACAGTGATGCTGGACTGGCTGGGAAAGATGCTGAAGCTACCGGAAGATTTTCTTGCTGGGACCAAAGGCAAAGGAGGTGGGGTCATCCAGGTGAGATCCTTTAAAAATTGCTTTAGCATCTACTATACTTTAAATATATACTCTATACATATTTTACAATATATGTCATTTTCTGGGAAGATAAAGAATTTTACCTATAGTGTAATATCAGGGTTTTTCCTGGGTGATAATTGGTCTTCGATAAAAGTAAATTGTACCCTATGATCCACGAGCCCAATATTAACAATAAATTTAAATAGATACAAAGAAACAGTTTGTGATTTTACTGATCCTATTTCATCATAATAAAAAAAAAAAACAATCGCTGTCAGGACATACAGTAAAAGAAAGCGATTACTTATTTTACAAAACATCACCGATACCAAAGTATATTTGACAGAGGTGCGGTTACTAGTACAGAAGCCAGTCATCGATCGTTATAGACTGATGTTTCTCGAGGGGAGAAGCTGGGACCAGGGGTCTATTCTTTGTAGGTGGATTAATCAGCTGGATTTGGATATTGACGATTTGACATGATCCAGGATCGTTTTGTTCTTCAAAACTCATCTAAGAGTTGTTGTCATAGCAACAGTTCTAATAGCTCAAACCTGGTCGGGAGCAGGCTCATTCGTATAAACAGGATTAGATCGGCTCATTTCAAGCAAAGATAATACTGAAAGTATGTACCAAATGCTGATATTTTCCTACAGTAGTTATATACACTTGAGGAAATAGTAAATATAGTTTTTTACATGGTTAAAGGGCACCTATTTTACTCCTTTTTTTGAGATTTAAGAGAAGTCTTTTGTGTCTCCAAAATGTGTCTGTAAAGTTTCAGCTCAAAACACCCATCAGATTACGCATTAGACCTTTCAGAATATTGGAAATTTCTGCTCTGAACACAAATAGCTGTTTTTGTTGCCTGTGCCTTTAATGCTAATTTTCCCTGCCCATCGTTCCCACGTGCCTATCAGAGTGTGCCTCAATCTCAATCATTGTCAGATAAACAGCGCAGTGACAGACATGAAGCAGATCTCACGTAACGTTGGTGAGAAATACTACAGTAAGAACTTCCCAATGATTATTTGATGTATTTGTTATAGACTTAATTCAAGCCTTTCTGCAACGATGAGTCACACACAATGTTGTCACAAAGTTCATGCACACACACACACACACACAAATACACACACACACAGTGGGCACGTTTAACAGTGGGTACTGTTTTTACATGGCAAGTGTGACAGGATATGCACTATTATATACACTGCTATGAAAACATCCATTATGATAATGTACAAAACAAACGTGATTTAACATACACAAACCGGGATTGAAGCGTCTTCTTTTATAATTGTACTGACATGCGGCTGTGGCGATAAAGACAGTAAAATTGCTGTAATTCATTACAAACATGCGCTGTTTTAAAAATATTTTAAACTTGTAAAACTCATTCTTGATCACATCTGATGATGATTGATGATCACAGAATGCTGAACAGATCTTTTATTTTTGGTTGCTTTGCGCATATCTTGTTGATATGATTATACATGCTACTACAGAGACCTGTTAATATGCGGCTATCAATCAAATTGGTGGGTGGGGAAACCACACTCCTACATCAAATTGCGGTGGGCTTCAAAATGGGAGTGATTTGGATCCTATTTTAGCCTCGAAAATAAAATAAAGAAACGTATTTTCTTTACAACACCCCAATATGACCTACACGCAGTTCTGTCCAAACAGCTTCCAAAAGATGATTTTCATCATAGGTGCCCTTTAAAAATGAAATTTCTGTCGGTTAGGGTATTGACACATAGCACCAATGTACTCACAATGACCTGAGTTTGATTCCCAGCTTGAGTTCCTTTGCTGGTCCTTCCCCTGTCTCTGCTCCCCACACTTTCCTGCCTGTAAAATCTCTACTGTTGTCACACCCTCAGCTCGTTCCTGCAGCTCCAATCACCACTCTCCCTCACCATCCACCACTCACCACACCCATAAACAATCACCTGATTACTGATCACCCGCACCTGCAATCACCCATGCACCACATAAACTCACCTCCTTCATTCACTCACTGGCTGGAATTAAAGTCAGATGGTTGTCCTTATCGGCTCTCCCTCTTCCCCTTTTATTCCTCCGTGGATGTCCTGCTTCTGCTTAAGGGAAGTGACTAAAGGTTTGTTGGTGTAATACTAAAGATCAGAGATGGGAAGTAACAGAGTACAATTACTTTGTTACGGTACTTAGGTAGACTTTTCTAGTATCAGTACTTTACTTAACAATTTATTTTTCTGACAACTTTTTACTTTCACTCCTTACATTTTTACACAAATATCTGTACTTTCTACTCTTTACATTTTTAAGTTGGGCTCATTATTTTTGTTTTAATGTATTTTGTGGCGCGATCTATATTATTTCTTGTCTCTGCGCAATTTGAACGCCTTTTTGATTCAATCAATCTATTTCTTGTCATCGCAGTAATAAGATGCGCCTTGTTCGACCAGATCACAGGTAAACGAGACACATATCTGTTCAGATCAAGCATTTAAATGGGGTTAAATTCTTTTGTCCACTTCTGACCACGATGTACTGTATGTCTCTGATCTTTAAATCTAATACCACGTAAAAAAAAAAAAAAAAAAAAAAAAACTTTAACAGGTAGCGAAACAAAAACAGGTTGTAGTAATGAATACGTTTTACTTAAGTACAAATTTCAGGCCATACTTCTTTACTTTAACTTGAGTACAATAGTGTAGTCAGTACTTCAACCAGAGTCGTTTAAACATGAATAGCTGTACTTCTACTTGAGTAAAGGATATGTGTATTTTTGCCATCTCTGCCGAAGATCTGAAACTTACCATTTAAACTGTGTGTGAGATCGCTCTCCCTCTGCTACACTATTTACCTGCTTCATCTCTCAGCATGTGTTGCATTGCACAAATAAATAGCCTTAAAGATAACCATCTTTCTCTTCCTTGTGTGACAGTGACAACTGTCCTATACAAATAAAGGTGAAGACCCCTTAAAAAATAAATAAATAAATAAAATTTTATTAAATTAAATTAAATCTGTTAATTACCCTTGTGAATCATAATATTGTCTCAAGAGATTTAAGGCTGTTATCCGCTCCATGTCATTTTGGCCTGTATGAGATTGGATTGTTTCTGTATAGGATAATAAAGCGTGTAAAGACTCCACTCATTTTTGGAAAGCAGCAGCTAATTTGCATTTTTAAAAATTCACAAACACTGTGTGGTTTTGCTCTAACCTGAAAAGGAGAATATTTGACAAGATATAATCAAGGATTTACCACCTTTAAAAAAATAATTGCATATCTGAATTCCCATTAGGATGTTGTGTCAGGTGCACAAATGTGGACATTTCAAAACCACCTAAAATGCCAACTGGGCAATCATCAATGCTCTTAATGCGTATTTAATCCGGACAATTTCTTCTGAAAAAACAACAAATATCAAAAAATGCTCACACAACAATTTGCTTGTCATTGATTTGTTGTCCAGGCCCTGAAAATTGTTACATCCTGTAGAAATTGCCTTTTAAGACGTCAGCTCCACACGAGTGGAGACAGCCAGGCGGGCCGTGCGTCGAGAGTGGCCTCTGTTCATTTCGTCACTATTGATGCCGCAGTTGAGCAGCTGTGATCATTTAGAGACACAGGAAGCACAGCGTACGGATAGCCTACTGATGACAGTCGGTTTGATGCTCTGTCATTAAGGCCGCTTTAGAGTGTGTCCTCCTCCTGGATGGTTTTGTCTCTGGGCTTTTCAGAGAGCTCACTATGGCAACAACAGGCATTATTTTCACCGATAGCATGCCCTAATGAGGGAGTTTGCGGATTTTGTAAGCAATACATCTCCGAAAAGGTGGGCACAGGAGAGAGGGGAGGAGAACAGGTGGAAGTAGAAGACAATTTTGCGAGTAATATTCGGAATTTGACACTGTGTTATTTTCACTAAAGAATCACTTGTAAGTCATAATAACCCTGCAACATCTGACTTATGAAATAAGAGTAGGTGGTGTACAGCAACTGTTTAAGAACAGGTTTTTATCATGTTATGTTTTAGCCTGGCGGCACAGTGGGTAGCACTGTTACCTCACAGCAAGAAAGTCGCTGGTTTGAGCCTTGGCTGGGTCAGTTGGTATTTCGGTGTGGAGTCGGCATGTTCTCCCTGTGTTCACGTAGGTTTCCTCCGTGTGCTCCGGTTTTCCCCACAAGTATGAAGACATGCGCTTTAGGTGAATTGGGTAAGCTAAAATTGTCTCTAGTAAATGAGCGTGTATATGTGTTTCCCAGTAATGGGTTGCAGATGTAAGGGCATCTGCTGTGTAAAACATGCTGGATAAGTTGGCGGCCCCAGAATAATAAAGGGACTAAGCCGAACAAGAAAATGAATGAATGAAGGAAGGAAGGAAGGAAGGAATGTTTTAGCCTTTTGTCAAAAATGCACAGTTGGATTAATGTGGTGAATGTGGTAGATGTGACATTAAATTTAATGTGTCATTTTGACCAGTAGAGGGCGCAATAAAGCGTGTAGTTTTGACTGAGTGTGTAATGATGGTAGTGGTCTTCATTACATCCTATAGGACTACTGTGGAAATCATGTTCATGGATGAGCTAAAGTAGTCAACACTTATTATCATGGTAGTATGAAGCAGAGTAAGGGGCCAATCACACCGAATGCGCTTTTATGTTCCAAAAAAGTGCACCACAATGGCCTATTTTTCTTGAAAAGAAAAAAGTAGCGCAGTCCACTTTTTATGTTGCTATGCAACGATTGAATCAGCTGCGTATTGTGCGTTAGTGTTGCCGTTGATATTGGTGTAATTTTAATATTTAATAATATTGTGATATTCAAGATTTGTGTTGTCATACAGCTCCTAATAACTCAAAATAGTAACCACTAGTCTCTCCTCTATCTTCAAAAGTCTTCGTAGTTGTCTTGGCGACACAAACATTGCTTTCGCCTCAATTGAAACCCCGCCGTCGCCTTCATTTGATTAGAGAATGAAAAAGACGCGACTGATGTAACACGCTTACCCGATCAGAGTTGACTTTTTTTTTTTACTTTGAGTGCACAACTGCGCAACAGCAAAAAAAACGAGGTACAGCAGGCAGTTAAAAAGCAAGGTGCACAGGGAGCATGGTCTGATTCACACTATGAGTGACTTTGCAACTGTCTATTGACCAAAAAAAGTGGAATTGAAGTCGCCATCGCATTTCCATCTTGAAGTAACATTTATGATGATATTTAGTTACAGCAAATGAGGCAAAACATATAGGCAAAATCGAAGTGCATATATGTGCATATACAGGCCATATAGGTATACTGTATTGCTTCTTTATATCCACATATAAGCTCTATATGTACATACAATATATGTCTCCTATATAGCTCATATATCTCACTTTGGCAACTGTCATACATGATGCCTAGATCATATTTTCTATTATTAAGGTAATAACAATAACCAAGAACAGAAAAAAATAATAATAAAATTATGTATGTGCAAACACTTGAAATTGGTATCACATGTAAATGGCATGTTATGGAATTTAACTATGGCAAATAAGTGAGAGGCGATGAAAAGCTATGATGTCTACACATTTTCCTGAGTCAATGCTTTCTTCTAAGATAGTGGAAAAGAGAGAAATGTATAACACAATGGCATGTTTCTTTTTTTTTTTTGTCAATATAGCCTTTTTTCTAATTTCAAGTCACTTCCAGATTCATACTACAGCATATACACATCCACACAATCACTGTTACATCCCCCAAATTCATTGCAAAATACAATGTTTTCTTAATGTCTTAATGCAGTTTATAGATGAATATGACCGAAAGGTCATTACAGTCCCACACGGAAAGAACCTATATAAACATAGGTTTTAATAGGTTTTGATATAGGTTTTGAATATATGTGACATATATAAAATTGGCCGTTTTCCTATTTTATATCTACATATAAGTTTATATAGGTTCTTTCCGTGTGGGTGGATTTATGAAAATAAAAATTGTAATAAAAACATAGTCTAGGGTACATATTTGTCGGCTCTTAAAAATGTAGTCCTGGGCATATATTTTCAGTGAGCCTGTCTTGTGTTTTTGTATATTTTAATGAAAACACAGATTGTGCCTTTGCAAGGGATATATCATAAATTAAGGTGAATCATTAGTAATCAGGACGTGGGTGTTCCCTGTCAGGAAAATCAAAGACAACTCGTGCCTCACAATGAGCTGAGCTGATCCACATTGAGGGGTTTCGAGTGGAAGTCTTCTCATTCAGTCATTGAGAACATACAAAACAGAGCTGGAGAGCTGATGAAAATTCATCACTGTTGCTTTTACAATGTCCAAACAGCATCGATTGAAGATGTTCACTCAATACAGTACTCAAGATGAGGGAAATGATGTTTCAAGTAATATTGATCATGTCTACAAATTATTAGACCTGCTCAATATTTTGAGCATATAAGCATCCTGTTATAAACATGTACAGCTTGCAGTTTGTCACTTCTCCCTAAATTGATCAATGACTTTTTTTTCTGGTCACCTCATACTTCAGTTTCTCATCAAATCTTCTGACCAAGCAAATGCTCTCTAGTGTCTGGCATTCCCTGCCTCCTTCAACGTGACTCGTTTGGTTTTCATTTGATTCGCTTTAACTCAACTACTCTCATGGCAGAGCTGTGATAAAAACCACATGCTATTGGTTGTTGTTTCTTTGCTACCTGCCCTCTCTTCATTTTTCAGTTGAGATTATGTCATCGAATAAAATATGCATGTTTTAAAGCAGTTCACAGGACCAGAGGCCTCATGTACAAAAACTTGCGTTGAATTAACCCTTAAACATTGCCTACGGACAAAGCTGTAAACAATTCAGATGTACGAAACACTGCGTACGCGGATTCCCACGCATATTCTCTTTGTACATCCGAATTAACGTGAAACTGAGCGCACATGAGGAAAACCCCTCCCTGCCTCCTCCCCCTTATAAATATGTTAATGTGACCAAACTAAAAAAGCAAGCAAGAAGAGAAACTTCAAAGTGTGGACCAATCAGACGGGGGAAACAGGGGATGCTGAACTAACACCCTTTGAGGAGAGAGTTGCCTCTATTGTGGGCAACACTTTACTGTCTGGAGTAGTATCCGTGTCTGTGGGAGACAGAGATGTATTAGAGGTACACGTTGTTAGGGTGGAATAGCAGCACCCCTCCGCTCTTGTCAAAGCAGCACCACTGGCATTTCAGCTGCCCAGTCGCCCGCTTTACAACTGACCGAGTGCGAGAATGGACATCACTGTATCTGCGCTCTTGGTCAGTTTGTGGGTTGTTGAGGGGTCTAACAGCCACGTCTTTAACTGCTAACTGCGGTCTTCTGATATGCAGGTAAATAATTATGCTGAATAAAATAAAATAAAATAAAATAAAATAAAATAAAATAAAATAAAATAAAATAAAATTAAATAAAATTAAATAAAATTAAATAAAATACTTAAATAATATCTTTAAATACATCACTCACCAAGAAGCCACCCATCGCGCACCCTTCCACCTTGGAGCCTCCTCGCTGTCTCTCTTAAAAAATTTTGACCCAACTCAGCACAGAGCTGAGGATAGCTCTTGGAAATCTGAAATGGCTAATAAGCCAGTCATCATCGTGGGCCATAAAATCACTGTGTTCCCTAAAAAATGCGTACCCTTCGGATTCGACCATTGACAATGTCCTCTAATGAGGCCAACACTGTCATTGTTATAGACTAAGGGTTGTATACATTTGCAAATGCTTTTATACATTCAAAATCGCATAATTAGTAAAAAAAAAAAATGTGTCAATTAACCCATTTTATCAATTATAAATTAATAGTAATGTTTTTCACATGTGTTGGTGCGATACTCTACTTTGTAGTGTGCAAATTAACACAATTGCCTCTAGGAGTCGCCAATGGAAATAAAACAAATGCACACAAGAAATACACGTACGTCAGACATAAAGTTGCTACGGACCAACGCACATTCTCACGTTAATTTCATCGTTAGTAAATCCAAACATGAGTGTGAAACCTGGCGTACGCAATACATGAATAATACATTAATACATGAAGCCCCTGGAGTTTTTACAGTATATGTGTGTGTTTTTGTCATTCTTTTGTTTTGGTTTTATTTGTTTTTAACAGTTTAGTTGTCGTTATTTTGGTTAAGCTAATAAATGATTGTGCTATTTGTTTGTACAGAGCACTGCCAGTGAAGCCACTCTCATAACCCTTCTTGCTGCTCGCTCCAAAATCGTCAGGCTGATCCAGGCGGACCATCCTGACCGATCTGAGACTGACATTATATCCAAACTAGTTGCCTATTCATCTGATCAGGTGAGACAACACGCCATTATGAAAGAAAGCTGCACAGGTTTGTTTAGCCATGATAAAAACGCAACATAAAAAAGCACTGTTAGCCAGATTCTTGTTGAGCGTAAATGTCAAACAGTGCTAAAGGGTCTTACTGCAGGGCTGTGCCAGGATAACACTGAAGTGCTTCAGTGCATGTGTCTGCATAAGTCTAATTTGGCAATTTTTGGTCCTGACAGTAAAGGCTTTATT